TGGAACAAGCATCTCAATAGCTGCACAGAAAGGCCAATGCACAAATGTGCTATACTCAACATATGGAAAAAGTCTGAAGCCTTTCAAACCACTTAATGAGAAAGCTGTGGATATCAACAGCAGAAGGAAAAATCTAAAATGGGAGGAAGAAACGTCTATACTACCATGCTAATTTATATTGTTAGAGAGGAAAGTACATGGCAATGTTAGCTATGCTGAGGATTTTCAAAAGTTGCATTTATTTTTGGTTTTATTTCAAAAATAGTGTTTCAATGAATATGCACCCTGCTGGGTTTGTGGCACTGGTAGTGTGTTGATCACCATGGTACCTGAGCACTCAAGCCAATGATTAATCAGTGGAGCAAATGAAACAGAAGCTGAGAGCCAAAATGCACTGTGACAAGCTCTTCATAGACCTTATGTGTGCCACAGCATCTCTGTCTAGACTTCCTTCAGGCTTTCCACTGTCTATTTTCCCTGCTCTTAGGATAATCAAATCTTTTTTTCTAAAAGGTGCTAAGGGATACAGAGATCTCAGACTAGCTCAGGAGAAAGGAGGAAATAAAAAAATCCCAACAAACAAACAAAAAAAGCACCCACCAATACATAAATATTTTCATCAGGAAAACATTGCTTAAGCACACAAGAAGAAAAAAAAATTAATTTCCATAAATTGATTATTAATTGACAAACTTTTTTATATCTGCCCAGCTATCAACCAAGTCTTTAAAACTACTGTTCTGAAGAAGGTAAACAAGTATTTGCTCGCTAAGGAAATGACCTTTCAAGGGACTGATGCAGACTGTACTTGAACACCACTGTTAGCTTTATCTAATGATAATGAAAAGAATACATAAAAACATATGGCTATGTGCCTTCTTGAAAAAGACCAGAGATTCCATCAGCCCCTCTCCACACTCCAAATACGTAACAAGTTAACACAACTTTGGTGATGTTTGTTTAACATATGTGCATACAACTTGTGTGAGCTTTTTCTGGCTTGGGATGCTTAAGCAGAGGTCTCTGGATTTTAGAAAAGGAAATCTCCTTTTGAATTATCTACCCCTTGCTGGTTTGTTTTCTGTACAAAGTCTCGGAGGGGCACAGGAAAGCCGAGGGCCTTGCATGCAGGCCAACTTGACAAAGGTTAAATCCTTTCAGTACTGCGGAACTGTGCAGCTATAATACAACCCTCACTGAAGAAGTTTCCTGTTTTCCATCACTAATCAAGGCAATGATACTGCATTCTAATTAAATTGATGTCACGTGGAGTTTTTCCTCTTTACTGTAGCTGCTTCACACTTAGGAGGTAGTTACATCCAGTTTATCCTTTAAAAGAGGAGTAGGTTTTGGGGACAAAACCCCATTACCAGCAATGAAAACCCAAGTGCTCACTTTCTAGTGCAGTTACAAAATGTTGTGCCTCAGCAGCAGCAGTTTTGAAGTAGATATGAAGCGCTGCACTACCCACTTATATTTGAATGTGAAACTCACTCTAAGCATCAGCCAGATTCTGTTACCTCTCCTGTGTCTAAATCATATCCATCACTGTCGTCTCTAAAGATTCAGGTCCTCTGTGCACTTCATCAGGCATTATAATCGAAGCTAATGAAAGACATGTTTGTTTAGCTGCTGTAAACGGCTTTGAAGATGTTGGTTTCAGCCAGGGTGATGAATTAAGAATGTCAGCTGGGCAACAGTTTAATTTGGAATGAATTTAGCTAAAATGGATTACTGAAAAAAAGCAATATGGATTTTTAAAATTAATATTATTTCACATGCTTTAGCAGTAAATATTTTACTCCTTCTTACCATCTGAGTCACCAGGCATAGTACTGGAAGAATCAGTAATGACACCAGCTTCTCAAACACAAGATCAACTTAGGATACTATAAACAGGTGTGAAAAGCCACTTTTCGACTGCAGCAGGGAGTACAGCCCTCAAACAGTTTATCCTTCAGCTGACCACATTTCTGCCTAATAGCAATTCTGCAAAGCAGCCTGAACATGGTAATTAAAGTATTTTACAACAAAACTCAGAAACCAACAACTGCAAAGAACTATTCTGTAACACTGTTATTTATTAGAAGTACCTGGCTTTTATTTTCTTTGGTGCATTTTCAAATGAATTAAAATAATGACTTAAGGGGAAAGAAAATTATCTTTAAATAGGGGTGAGTTTTTTTTTTCCTCTCCCAGGTAATTTGGAGTCAGGAGGAATTCAAAATAACATCATGATTGTTGAAAATTACAGGGTAAGGTTGGAAACCTCTAGAGGTCATCTAGTCCAGCCTCATGCTCAAACTAGTGCCACCTTAGAACAGATCATTCAGACTTAAAAGGCAAAGGAAATAATTTAAAGTAAAAAGAAAGAAAAAATAAAGTCTTCCTCTACTCCCTTTTGCACCACAAGGAAAAAAAATGCAAGGAAATATTTCTTGAAACATATAGCTCTTCTCTGTTGTTTGTAAGTAGGACCATCCTGGAAGATAGAGTTGCCACCTTTAATTGACCTAGTTCCCTTTCTGCCTCGATGCAGGGAACATTTAGCACAACGTGTGGCAAACTCTGACTCAGTTGCCAGCACTGCTGTGCCACACTGCTGGCCAGAAAAGGCTGGGAATGCTGCATGTTCAGCTCCAGTGACAGGGAAAACACTCCATATCATTCATTAGCAGTCTGCTCCAAGTTAATTAAGGAATGGAGCTGACAGCTGCTGAAGCAGGTTCCACCCCATCTTTTCCTGGGAAAGCAAGGCCTCCAGGGCAGGGCCTGGACTCCACAGCAAAGAAGAATAGGGTGGGGGAACCTTGCAAGATCTCAGTGAAAGCCAGATGACTCATCAGAAAGTAAAACGTTTCTATTTTGGCAAGAGGCTGAAATAGCAGCCCTGGGTTGTGCTGCAGCACAGCAATAAATGACCCCGAGTGCCCGGGACAAACTCCTGCGCACACTGATATTCCTAACAGCAGGGGCTATTTCACATCTCATTAAGCAAAGGGGTTTACATGACAATTAACACATTAATTAGTAGCATATTTTCACAGGTGAAGCTTTGGCTTGAGATTTCAACATTTTTAGACAACTGCTCTGTGAGTGAAAATTAAGGAACAGTTTATTATGACTCAAGGTGACAAGGACTTACAGGCACAACTGGCAAAGGAGTATGTTTGTCTGCGTACTGAAGGACACTGCAGCCTGGTGATGGCCTTTCCCACAACCTGCATGGAAAGAGGGCCTCCTTGTACTGTCTGCACCCTGCCACTCAAAGCCCAGCCCTACACATGGGCAAAGTGTCAGGCTGTCCACTTTATCAACTGACCATAAACAAGCCTAATGTACCACAAAGTCACCCAGGGACAAAGCAAGGTCTGGACTTCCAGGAGCAGTAGCTCCCATTCCTCATTCCCATTCCTCAGCCCCAGCCGCTGAACTGTGTGGCTCCCCACTACAAAAATCCCTTTGACTATATTTATAGAGAGATAACACCACACAGCAAACCCTGCTAATTTCACTGAAAATAGGTACCAGTTATAAGGGATGTTTACTGCCCTACAGCTTCACATCTTAGATACAGAGTTAATAATTTCTACCAGAGACTGCTTTAAAGAAGAGTTGGCACTATTAAGCTGCATGAATATTTCTCTCTGAGGTTTTTGTCAATACCATCTTTAATTTCTATTTTCTTTTGAGATAATGGATTTACAAGTATACAAGAAGATGTAGAGTACTGTAAAATTGAATGAAAGGAAGAACAAATTGGAAACTGGAAATTGTAGCTTTCAAGATCAGATGGATTCTGATAGTCATTGGGTCCATTCCCTATCAAATGGACGTTGCCAACCCACAGGATGTAGTGGCATGCTTTGTATACATTATCTTTCACCTCCCTCAGGTAGATACTGCAAGGAAGCTGTGTTCTAAACAATGTATAAACTAACAAAAACCACACAAATCTTTTACATGTTTTAGCACTCAAAGCATAGATAAATCACTAGCCTCACCTATGATACCACTTACAAAATAAATCCAAGCTCAGGAGGAACACCAAATAACTTGTCCTTTAATTAACTTTTAAAAGCTGATGGTTTGTTTCAGAATATGATTTATTTATTTTATTTATCAGCCTGCTTTGTTTCAAATGGGTTCTGACTGACCTCTAGATACCCTTGCATTTGCTCTGTGATATCCTCAGAATGTCACTGCTTTGATTCTTCATCTTTCATTTCCCAAACATTTCTTTTTGGTCACTTCTGGTAGTGGTGGCAGCTGAAGTGGAAGTTTAGCTTCTGATAATCTGTACTGCTTTAATGGTTCCCGGCATCCTAAGGATATTTTCCAAGTGTTATGGTGACACCAGCTGAGATCTTGGCAATAGAAAAGTGTTTCACATGTTTATTTTCTAACTTAGTCCCTTGTGTTTTTTTCTGCTTTCCCAAGCCTCTGCCACCCCTTGATTTCTATGGCTTAACACCTTTTGTTATTACTATATTCCTAGTTATCACTTCTCAATATCTTTCTGATTAAAAAGCCTTTGAGAAACCTGAGGGCATTCCCACTATGCATCCAAAAATCTGTTAATAAATTTCCCCAAACCTCCAAATCACATATGTCTAAAAGCTGAGCAAAAATCCCCTCTACAAGGAACAACAATACTCACATCTTTTTTATATATTTCTCTATAAATTAGAGTCTAGGAACTATAGCACATAAACCTTGTAAAACGATGAGCACGTTTCAAACAGTTCTAATACAAAATATGACACATAAAACAGGTCACTGGTTTAAGATGTCTCCAAAATAACATATGCTTGGAAATGCTTATCCTTGTAGCATCACTATTCTCTTTTTTCCGTGAGAAAATGAAACATGCAGAAGCATGCCTGAAAAAGCAAAATTCTCATATAATTTCTATCACTCACTCAGTATGTTCATGACTTTTATACAGCTGACTGAACATTTATTATCTCACGTGAAAGAGAAGCTGTGAGTTTGCTCACCTTTGTCACCTGCAGGATCTTTGAAATGCCTCCTCTCCTGTTTCTTCCAAAGAGTACGTTTCTGCATCTCCCAATGCATTCCCGAGTCCACTGAACATGCAGACATCAATAAGTTCTGGCTAAGTTATCCCACGTAACTCTGAAGAGAAAAGGACAGACTTGCAGATGCTGCAGAAGGTCTTCTTCACTCTCTTTGAACATTTTGTTTTCCTGGTGCTCTGTCACAGTCAGGTCTCCGGTAGTAAACTGAACAACCTATCCTCCTGGCTCTTCTTTTCTTCTTTTTCTTTTCTGTAAACACATAATCAGGGCTTCAAATCCTTTAGGCATCACAAACTGTATTTCTCTATTGCCCTCTACTGACTGCCGGCTCACGCCGCCTTCCCGGAGAAGTGGCGAGCAACAGATACGCGGTAGGCGCTCCTCGCCGCCCTCCCCCGGATCGATAATGATACACGATGACCAAAAGTCAACACAAATCATTCTATTTTTGCCTTTGTTACAAAACACCAGGCAAGATTTACAGCCTGTTGGCCAGCCGTGGTAGCTACAAAACGCTGAATAACAGAACCGGGAAACAGTTTGTAACATGGCTCTGCTAACGTGGGGTGGGTTTTTTTTTGGTGAACAAAAGCCAGGAAAAAGTAGAGATGAATGCGTTCTGCCTTGAAATGTGGATGAATTCATCCCACTGATGCCATAAATAGTGTGCCGGGGATCTGAGGGTTGTCTGGTTTTAAGGGTTTCGTCCTGCCAGCACTGGATGCACAGAAATACTGCCTTCTGATGGGAGTTCTGCAGGAAGGGGCCAGTAGCTACGAATTTGAGGCCATGGTTTTTGGCCATTTCCCCTTTATCTCTAGTGGTTTGTTTAGCACATTCAGCACCACACCTAATATGGGAAAGCCTCATGTGACAGGACCCGAGACAAGGCACATCACCCTGTGTGTGGATGGCATTGGGAGGGGCTGTTTGACTTGCTTTTTGGACAAAGATGATCGATAATGCAAAGAGAATCCAGCAAACTAGGATTAAAAAAAAAAAAAAAAGGAAAAAAGGAAAAAAGGAATGGTCCAGTGTTGCTGTGTTGTCTCAGGAGCAGCAGAAGAAAAAATGTATAAGCATTTCAGGCAGAATGATACTGAGGAAGATAATGAGGGAGAAAAAAGCAGTGTTATAAAGAGAGTAAAAGTGAAGGTGGAGGGGGGGGAAATATAAATTTATCCTTTGCATTGTATTAGTCACTGCTTAATAAGTACAGCACATGCTGGTTAATCAGGTCACTCAGGTACCTGTTCTCACAAGAAAAGATTAATCCATGGTGCTGGTGCAGATGCTCTGCCCCACCTGCACCACTCCAGGGACAGGGAGAAGTCAGGTCCCAGCTCCAGGCAAAAGAAGAAATCCCTAGCACATTTCCCTTTATCTAGGCAGAAGCTGGGAAAGCACTATCTTACCTCACCATTCTTCCTCCACAACCAACTTCCCTAGGGAACAAACATGCTTGAAAAATTATAGACAGACTCACCCCTCAAAAAAGTGTTGGAATTATTTTTGCTTACTTATGTTCAAAAAGTACTTTCATTTTCCCCCTCCAATATTAAAAAATGGGATTATTTCATTTGCCAAAAGATCTGTTGACTGATGGACACTGATTATGTTTTGAATGGATATTACATGAAGTCTCTGTTTTTCCACTCAGAAAAGGTAGGATTTCACTCAAAAATTAGGATCAAAAAAGCCAGCAACAAGGCAACAAAAATGTAACATTGAAAGGTTAATTGAAAAAATTAGTTTCATTTAAAAAATAGAGTCAGCAGAGGCCCTAATTGTACCTATTACGAACATTTAATTAACAAGTCCAGATTTATTGACTGTGCAAGTAAAGCTGTCTTAAAGGAAACCTTGAAATTCCTTTTTCTCTTTGCTTTTCTATTTTTAAAGTGCTTGGCTACTCCATGTCAGAAAATAAGAAATAATTATATTTATTCAAATTCCTTGATAGAATATCGAAGCCTGCTCAGCTGAATACCTCTCCTAAATGAACACCATTACCAACAGAACAAAGGATAAAAACGTCTAGCAAATGAACAGGGCCAGGGGAATTAATAAAGCACATCTCAAACAGTGAAAAGCTGAGGGTTTGGGGTTTGGTTTTAGGGCTTTTTAGGGAGGTAGCGGGGGAGGTTTTTAGGTTTGTTTTGGGTTTTTTGGGGTTTTTTTTTGTGGTTTTGGTAGGTTTTTTTTTTTAGTTTAGTTATTTTTTTTGGGTCTTTTTGGGGGGGTTTTAGTTTATTTGTTTGTTTGTTTTTAATGGGAGCACATTTGCAGAGTGCTAAAGCAAAGTCTGCAGTCGGCAAAATTCAAGGAAAAGGCACCTCCAATAGAGAACGTGACAGATTAAGTTCAGCACTGCTGAGCATCAGGCGGATTTCTGGAGCTGCTGCTGCAGCTCTTTCACCTGACAAGCCCTCACAGAGAAATAAAGGTGCGGGGTTTGGAGCTTTTTGGTTTTTTGTTTTTTTTTTCACAGAATCACAAAATTGTAACAGTTTGAAGGGGCCTCTGGAAATGATCCGTTCCAGCCGCACTGCCAAGGCAGGGTTCCCTGGAGCAGGTGACACAGGAACGCATCCAGGTGGGATTGGCATGAATCCAGAGGAGACCCACGACCTCTCTGAGCCAGCCCAAGCGCTCTGCCGCCCTCACTAAAGCAGATCTTCCTCACGTTTCTTTCCCTAAGGTAAAAGTTTTCTTCCCTCCCGGAACAACTTTTCACCCTTCGGGACACGAGCCGGGTGGGGAGCGGCGCTGCGGGCGGGCTCGGCTCCGGCCGCTCCCGCCGCGCTGTCCGGCCCGGGCCCGCGGCCCTGCAGCGCCAGCCCGGTACGTGCTGCTGCGGCCGCGCTGCCGCCGGGCTCGGCCCAGCGCTGCACATCCCCGCCTTCCCTTCCCCTCCCTCCTTCCTTTCCTCCTTTCCGGCGGGCGGGCGCTCGGCGCCATGGGGCGGCGGCGGCTGCTGGCGGCGGCGGAGCAGCTGGCCGGGGCCTGCCCGGGACAGGCGCGATTCCTGCTGTAAGGAACCGCGGCGGGGAGGGGACGGGCGGGGCGGGAGCCCGGCGGGATGGCCCTGACGCTTTCCCTCTCTCCCGCGCAGGTGGATGCTCCGCAGCTCCCGAGGCGAGTGAGGGGCCCCGGGCACCGGCGGTGGAGCCGGGCCGGAGGAGGGCGGCTCGGAGCTCCCGCGGAGGCTCCCGCCGGGGGAGAGCAGCGCGGAGGCTGCGGAAGGACGGGAGCGTGGGAGTGAATGCCGGCTCGCCCTTTCCCTGCCTTCCCCCTGGCCCTGGGGGCTGCCGGCGGCCGTGGCGAGCTCGCCGGGAAGCAGGGTCGGGTGTCCCCTGGGGGCTTAGGGAGAGGCGCCCGAGTCCAGCTCTGGCAGCAGGAGATAATGAGGCAGATGCCAGGAGCGAGCCTCTTGTTGGCTCTGAAATTTATCTTAAAGCGTTTCTTCATTCTAGCCTGAGGTCGTGTCAACTTCTCACACTTAAAATGGGCAAAGAGCTTTCCGTGACTTTGGTGTCCCTAATCTGGTAGAAGATTGTGCCTACATGGAGCTCTTTGCAGAATTGTGAGCCTCGTTTGCTAAAGATTTTTAGGAAGGAATTGCATTTTTTTCAGGAAAATCTACAGTTACACATCGTGTAAATTTGCGCCATGCATTAATTTAGTCTGAATTGTGCTCAGCTGAGTACATTCTGGTGCTCAGCTTCCTTTTGTGTTCTAGTGTTATCTTAAGCACAAAAACATATACCTAGGTAATGTTAAAATTGAAACACACCATTTAAAAGTTTGCTGATAAAACATAGTTATTTCATCCTTTTGCCTTTATTTATCTGTAGGTAATGAACGTGGATTAGGAAGGATATGTCCTTATTGCTTCCAGTTTCTGGTTCCTGATAGCTACCGGGTGCGCCTCAAACCAAAGATGAAAGTGACTCCGCAGATAGAGAAGGTTCTTAAACGAGAGGCAAAGAATTATAAACTTAACATGAAACAGACAAAGCTTTTGAGAAAGTACAGGGAGTCAAGAAGCATTCTGGTAAGGACAATTATTTGGAACAGACATGTACATGATATTTCCTTAAATTTCATGTCCCTATTTCAACAGCAACAAAAAAAATAAAAGAAGAGACAGAAGCCTTTCTCTTAGAAGAGGTGCCCACACATTTCTTTTTCACGAGCGTAAGACTTTTCCTTTCTTTTTGGAATAACTTCTATACATAAACAACATTTTAAAAATCTACCTTCCACAGTAGGAAGGTAGATTTAAACACAGTGACAAGACCAGTAAGCTTTTCTCTCAAAAAAATACATCATGACTCCACATGCTAGAGAAGCTACACAAACATCTCATTTACTGCCTCTGTTTCAGTTTATCACTTGTTGAGCAAATATGTTTTAACACAAGCTTTACTTCATATATTTCGCTAGCCTCTCATGGCTACATCAGATTATCATTACCATCTGTATTAATAGAATTTTTTACATTTGTCTGAATATTACTGTGTATAGGAACTAGTTTAAAACTAAACTACAGAAGTAATTTCTACAAATTGATGTTTTTCTTGAGGCCTCAGTTATTTTTCCTAAAAGTACTCAGGAATGTGACATTTAATTACTATTGGAAGAGAACAATAGTAAACATTTAACTAGTGTTTCCAAGGTATGTGCTATTTTAAAAACAGGTTATGTGAATGGTTGTTGTAGTAAATGAGACAGCACTCTATTGTGCCCAGCAGTTGCTGGCACACTTGGAATTTCCTTGGCTAGGAGTCTTGTGATTACAGGAGTAAATTTTGTGAAACCAAAAATTATTGAAGAGTCCATTAAAAAATTTCAACCAAGGAATATATAACCAAGATTTTTGCTGTCAGAGCAAGGCTGTCAGAGCAAAATTAGATGCTTCATAAAGGCACTCTCCCCAAATTGTAGATCAAAATTGAGCTTCAGAAAGGACATCTGAAAAGGTTCTTCACCCAGAGGGTGGTTGGGCACTGGAACAGGCTTCCCAGGGAAGGGGTCACAGCACCAAGGCTGACAGGAGTTTAAGAAGCATTGGGACAAGACTCAGGCACATGCTGTGATTCTTGGCATGTCCTGTGCTCAGCCAGGAGCTGAAATTTGATGATGCATGTGGGCCCAAATCAAGATGTTCTGTGATTCTTCAAACTGCTATCTTTGCTTTATTTTTCTGGTGTCATGAATTTTGAGGATACATTAAAAACTGTCCCTTTAAGCAACTGATGAACAGAGCAGTGTCCTATGAAATAATGACGGGCTCTTAGACTTACTGTGTAGCTGTAGAGTGTTTGTTAGAGATACACTGTGCATTCATATGAGTAGTTTAAAATTCAGTTTAAGTAGGTCCAGTTTAAACTCTGAGTAATATTTTAATCTTGGTATGTAATTACAGTTTGCTGTACTTGTGTTTTGTTCAGTTTGAATTTGTCCTGTGGATTATGATTTAAGTGTTTCTTGTCTTAAGTCTTTAAAAATGCTGTCAGCAACTGGCAGCTTTCAAAATTAGCAATGTAGATCCCTGTAATCTAATACCTGAGACTTGTGCAAATGAAAATTCCAGTGCAGTTGAGAATTAATGTGAGCAATAATGTGGCAAGTTGAACCTCTGAGAACTTTCTTAGCAAGTAGAACTTGATTTTAGATTGCTTCTGCCATAAGAAGCTATATAACATAGGGACTGTTTCAGGGCTGTAAAAATTTTTGGAGTTGACTGCTGATCCATTTCAGGAAATTAGCTGTGAAGTGCTATGATTAATTCAGTAATTCCTGCATTGTAAAATGGTCACCTCCATTTATATTCCATGCAGTGCTAAGTCACCATGAAATGCTGAGTTTATTTCCCACCCTGATTTCATTTGTAAGAACTAAAAATACATCAGTTCCTGAGCACTAAAATAGTTAATGCTACTTCTTTTTTTTAGTTCATTAAGCTGACAAAATATAATGTCTAGAGGAAGTCAAAAGACTTAACTAAAAATGTTTCATTTCAGCATCTCTAAAGGTGATTTTTAATAAACTATCTGAATTTACACACTTTGAAATGAAGAATGATTTGGTGTAGATGTTTTCAAAACTGCTTAGACATTTTGTGACAGTCTTTTGAGTATGTTATTTTTAACCAGAAGCGTCACGAAACTGTTTTTCTGTCAGTCTAATTGGTGCCTCAGAAAGCTGTCTGGCTGTATTACTTTCATATCTCTTAGTATGAGTAGTTGCCATGGCAGTAAGGGATATCAGGGATGCCTGACAGTCTCTGACTGGGTGATGTGATCAGTTCTGATGCACCTCTCAGCTTGGTGTGCTGCTGAAGTTCCCTGCAGCCTAGAGGTACACAGAGAGAAGAGAAAATGCCCTTTGTTTAGAACATCCTCCTTATTGTAATAAGTACTTTTGCCCTAATACAAAGCCTCACCTTGGTTCACTGAGACTTGCTGTTTTTAGTAAGATGGATGACTGGGTTTGAGAGTTCGGTAGTTTAAATATTTTATTCCAGGATTCCCTGAAAAGTGTGCAATATAACTTCATCAGGGGTACAATATGCCAATGATTTTAGATGACAAAGAATGTCACATTTTTTAGCCAAATTCCTAATGAATAGGAATACTCCAGTATACTCAGTGTATCTGGTACACTCAAAATATGATTTGCCCAGTTTCATGTCTTGACAGGATTCTCTGTATTTCACTGTACAATATTACATTCAGCAGTATGGGTCTTCTGAAACTAGTTTGTAGGGAATTGGAGTAATTTCTAGATAAACCTGAAGGATGTGATTGGCTTAAGAAGCCTGAATTAAAACACGAGTTACAAAGTTATAAACATATGTTACTTTTTAGTATCTCATGTTTCATTTAAGCAAATACTTAATTAAATGGAGAACAGTTTGGATAATTCTTCTAATGGCTTTATAACATAAAGGTGGAAGGACTGAAAGACAACTTGGTATTTCCTTTCTTCTCTCCATAGCTGGTTACTTGCAAATCTTGCAACAAAACAACAAGATACTATGGTGAAAGCAGGGATTTTCTGGCAGCCAAAACACAAAATTGTGGCACTCCAGGTATCAAATCTAGCCTGAAGACACCAGATGTAAAAATTCAGTCTGCAAAGAAAATGACACCTGTAAGCTGCAGTTGGTTGGGATCTAAAGGGAACACTCCCTCATCACTTTCCAGGTACTTGTTTCTTTCCTAGTTAAAGCAGCCCTTTGCCAAGTAGAGTGTATTAAATCTTGTTGATTTTAGATCGGTTATTTAATAAAGTTTAAATTGATAACTTAGTGTATTTCTCTGTTGGTACAGTTAAGGAGATCAATTTTAACTTTCCAGCCTTTAAAATCAGAGATTTTCATGAAAAGCCACTGTGTGCAAAGAATGCCCAGTTACATGTGTGCCTTTAGTGCAAAATGTCTGTCCTAAAATTTGCATGACAAAGTAACACTTCTGACTTCCCACTTGCACATAGAAATACACTGTTTCTCTTGGATATTTTTCATGTGTGCTTTCACAGTTACTTTATGTTAATTCTGATTTCTCCCTTTTAAGACATTTGAATCTTTTGTTTTCAGGACACGTGAATCTGGACACGCAACAACCAACTCTGCTTCCAAGACTCCTCGAAACTCCAAATTTCACTTTTCTAAACTAAAACGGATGCTTGACCTAGAAGAAAAAGAGAAAAGCCAGAAGGCAGATTTCAAAAGCTTCTTGACTCTACTTTAGTTATACATTATTTCAAAGTAATAAAGATTACAGCAATAAATATTGCTCCAGTTTTAGTAAATCAACAAAGTGATTGCTTTACAACTCAAGCTAACATCCTGTACCTTGTGGAAGCATAGACCATGCTTTTTAGAAGGAAGGTCTGTTTCTAAGGGAAGTAATGGTCTCCCAGATATAGAGATGAGAAGATAGCCAGTTTAATATGCTTGGGAATCTTGAACATGTTTTGCAGTTTCTGATGACCCAAGAATTAAAAGCCAGGATTTATCCTTTGAGGAAGCTGATGATGGCCCCACCAGGACAATTTAATTGTCAAGATTAAAGATTTTCAATTTATGTTTGGCACAGAGCAAAGTATAACATCACTGTTTAGGACTGAGATTATAGAGGTTATAGCCTGTTCTGCATACAGTCTGCAGTGATAGTTCTGCACATGGTGCTTCACATTTCCCCTCCCCCCACACCTGAAAAATAGAGCCAACTAGTAAATGCTTTTAACTTCCTTAGGTTTAAACATCTGTATTTTCCTTTCCTTTTGCTAGTTTAATGAATAATTTACTTTAAGTGCCTTTGGACTCAGTGAACACTGCTTAAGAAACAGAACCAGCAAATAACTTGGTGGACTGGGAAGCAGGTCCAGGACAGGGGACAATAGTTTTTTTGTAAACTGTACTTAAGAGTCTCAGAGATTGGCATGTAACCTTTTTGTAACTCCTGTACACTTGCACAATAACTGGAAGATGCACTGCTCATTGTCTCTTATGTACGTGTAGGATAAAATGAACTGCCATTCTTTAATCAAAATACAAACCTTGGAGTGTTGCCTTTTCCAGTGTAGAACTTGGCATTAATTTACATGTTGCTGTACTTACAATCCAGTCCTCTGAAAAATACTTCACTTTGTTGATGGCATATGTTCATTGCATGAAAGTATTTGAAAATACAAATTTTGCAATAAATTTTCTTATTAAAAGTACACACATCAGGTACTGCTGTGCTTCCCAAGAGGCCAATGTGAAACCAGCACAGGCATCTGCTGTGTTTTAAGGTGCCCCAATGTTAACGTGTTTGTTAGATCAAAGCATATTTCCCCATTGTCCCTGTTTACAGTGCTTCTTACACACCATCTTGCAGTCTCAAAAGTGCATTCTTTTTGGATAAACTACAGAGAAGGGATAAAAGACATGAAGAGGGGAGCACAATCAGTGTGCAGAGAAAGCTAATGGGTGATCTATCCACAGGATCACAGGAGAGCCTGTCTAAATTACGCATTTCCAAAAATGTTTTGTGGGTGGTGAGCACTGAGCTACAGGCATTCTGCATACCAAATGTATTACCTTTGCATCACACTATTTGTTACCAGAGATAGAGCCTTGTCATGCTCCAAACAACATCTTTTTTTGTTTGGAATTACCAGAGTTGTCAGATACATCTAGGTATGTTGTTAAAAGCAATTGTTATTGTGAGCTATTAGACTTTATTCTGGGAACACAGGGAAAGAAGTAATTCAGTACGTGCCTTTTCTTGTTTTACAAGCGTGCTTCAAAATGGTGGGTAGAAATAATCTCCAGTGCTTTATATATTACTCCTAAGCATTTAAGAGTGTTTTTTTTCTGTTAACTGGACTTTCACAGAATTGGTATATTGAAAGACAGACACACATATGTATAAACATCTCTCTACACATAATATATATGTATATAGGTATATACATACATACCCACACATCAGAGGCTTCTATGCAGACATATACTACACACACATACATGCATGTCATGCACTCTTCCCTTCAGGACACGTTACCTTCCTGTACTTGATGGAACACTGAAAGCTGTTGGCTGTGAGAGACTTGCTGAGCTTCCCTCCAAACCACTGCCAGGCCACATTACTGACTTGTGTTTGAAGAGCTGGAAGAACAGCTCAAGAGAGGAAATGCCTTCAATGATTTCAGAGAGGGCAGAACTGCAGGCAGACTTTGTACAGCAAGAGCAATAAGGTCTCCATTAAGCATACAGTCCTGCAAAAAGGCATTTGATTCGGTGAGAGTTATTTCCCAGCTCACACAAATTCTACTGGGCAATGTTATGTGTATCACTGGCAGTACTTGTGTTGTACCGCACTGAAAATGTTACAAAAGTGTGTCTTAGAATAACCAGCTCAACTAAATTTACAGTTCTAGAGGTAGAACATCAGACCCTTTAATGCACTGCCTTCTCACCAGAAACTGTCACACAAAATACAGGGAGTAATAAACCTCAAAATTAGTATCAAGCATTTACTCAGCATCATCACTGAGAGGAGATCTTGGCTGACTCCTAAGTATAGGGAGCAGCTGACATTAAAGCCGTTTCCCACCATGAGACTGAGAAGGCAAGCAGGGAACAGTAACTTTCAAAGATGTTTTTACAACAATGTTTTATTAAATATGAAAGAGCGTACATATAGGTGTTATTCTGAGGACATAAATTACACAAGGATTACAGGTTCTGTCAGAAAAGCACAATAATGAAAAGTCTTTACATTTCAAACTTTTCTTGTCAGCTTTTAACAAATAAGTCTATTTCTGTTGCAAACAAGTAATGAGTGCTATTGAACTTTTGCAAATTCCCACAAAAACATCATGCTTGGTAGGATACTTCAACTATTGTAGATATGAAGTCAGAATTAGATTCCTAAATAACACGATGGAAGAGATTTACTACTTAATCAAGATAAATGACACACTGAAATAGGAGCCGAGACAAAATTGGTCATTCATTAGAAAAAAATTCCACTTCAGACACTATGTTTGAGTCTGCTTTCTTTACTTGCAGGAATAATCACTGTGATTAAATGTAATGAGCAGAACTGGCCTAAATATTCGTAAATATAACCATCAAATTTTAGATGTGCTGGTTTTCACTGATTTTCCCACTGAAAAAACCCCACACCCACAGATCTATTTCCTTATGTTTCAAAAGGCTCTTCTGCAGAGAGCCAACCAAGCCTATGTATGATTTCCACATCCTCCATGGTCATCTGCACCGCTGGTTACTACATCCTACATATGTGTTTAGGGTCATCATCGAAGTACCAGACTGAGTCACCACTGACTTGAGAAAGCAGAACTAGTCTGTGCAAGTTCTAACACAATGGTTTTCTTAAGCTTCAGGTAAACAGGAATGTAATTTCATCATAATGAAAGCTCTCAATTTGACACTCAGAAGACTACTCGGATAAAATACACAATAAGCATGTGGTTTGGACTGTGTTGCTAGGGATTAACAGAGGTGCTTTAATATACTAATACAAACATTAACAGAGTGAGTTAGACAAGCTAATATTATTGCAGGCTGTAGTCTAATTTCCAAAAGAAGTAATGAAACATAATTTCTAAGAATGACAATTTTTGTAACTAAGGACTTCACATTTATTTTTAAAACCACAAAAGTGGGGTAGTATTCCTGGCATCTCAAAAAATTCTGCAAAAAACACAGTTTGAGTCTGCAAACACTAGAATATACATACAAGCAGTCCCAGTGACCTCCAAGGTAAGCATTCTCATATGGCAAAGTGCTGCAGGAATCTCTTTGCTTTTTTTTCAGAAAATGCTTAATAAAAGTGCAATATAGTGAAGCAAATACTCTAATTATTATGCCTTTATTATTAGATGAAAAATATTCAGATATTTTATAATTGTGCCTTTTGTAGGGCAGGCATTCTGTATTGCCTAGAGCCAGACCACATTAGAAGAGGTAGGCAGGGTATGCCCACACATTTTCTTTCCCAGGATGGCAACACCCCAAAGCAGTTCTGTGGTACAATCCCACCTACAGGTAAAACATTGTGCTGCCCAATCTCACAGTTATTTGTTTCGATGGAAGCTGACATGTGGTTTGCTTTACCTTTCCACCCAGGCATGTTCTCCCTTCTGTCTCCTCGGCACCCCACCCTTCCCCACCCAGCCTCTTTTCTTCCTGAGATGTCAGAAGTATGTACATTAAGCTTTGGAACCTGAGAATTTGGAGGTATTTTTTGACACTACAGGGCTGCATCTGTACTGTACCATGCTATCTCCTGCTATACTATTACAGTTACAGTATAAATCTCCTAACTACTTGATACCCGACATCTTTCCCATATAAATAAAAAAAAACCCAGCGTACCATTCAGCCATTAATATATGACACTTGCTCTAAGAGTGACTGTTGCCTTTCACAAGTCCTCTTTTCCAAACAAATATTGAGGGATCATTTCCAAAACCCCAGCAATGAAAAACTCCTTGAAGTAAACAATTTCACAGTAAAATGAAGAAAAATATACCCCGAAAATAACACTCTCTCAAAATTAAAACGTATATACATCAAGAAAAAGTTGAGGTTTTTTCCTCACTCTTTATCAGTTCTACATTACCTGTACATAAGCAATGTTACCACTAGGAGTTATGAATAGGAAAAACAAATCCAGTGAAGTAAGTGTCATGCTTTTTTTTTAAACTGTTGAGAGATCAAGAAAACTCAGCAGTCAACTTTATTATTATAACTAATTTCAATTCAGGCAGCAAAAGATTGCTTAAGCTTAATTCCCTATGATTCTGAGTATCCAACATAGATTTTACAGCACAGTCTAATAAGCCTTGTCACTGCACTTATGATCGATCACCTCTGGGAACAAATTAAGATTTCTATGTATGGAATTCAACCATGAACTCACTATTTATGCCTCTTGTTTTATGATTTGTTTTAGAATTCCTAATAGATTAAGCTGGTTTAATATTTATGGGTAATCTCAGCTCAGTCAGAGAGGAAAAAAGAGCTTTTCCAACCAGGCTGGGCCTGGGAAAGAGCTGGAAAGGAATGGAAATAATTCTCTATCTTTCTTGTTCACATTGTTTATAGGCATGTTCTGCCACTGTGCATCATTCACTGAGCACCAATGGTGTAAGATGTTTTTACTTTAAGACCAATGAAATGAGTCTACATGATGCTCTCTACAAAAAGAGAAATGTATTTAAAATAAATCAGTTGAGTTCACTTCATCTAACCTTCTAAATTAGTCTCTTTGTTCCCATCCTACCTCCACAGCAACAAATATTTACCACAAATTTGGTGCTATTCTTTAGTAAAACTGACCTTTAACTGCAACTACAATGCACATACATGTGAGAATTTATGTGATGAGTTTAACATACGAGAACAGAACTATTTAAAACATTAAAATTGTATCAGAACATTTTCTTATCAAGAATCTACACTGAAAAGATGTCAGTAAGTGTTATTTAATTTTGTATATTACACTTAAACTAAATAAACTAAATCCTCTGGATTCAATATAGTCAGCTTTTTTTTCCTATGGAATAGAAAATTGCCGCTCAACACTTTAAAATTTTTGGACCTGTAGTGAGCTCTGATAACTATTTTGCACACTCCTATTTATCTGTCAGAATTTTTTAGGAAATTGTTATTCTACATTGCATGCTATAGACTATTATGTCAACAGCTTGCATTTCTATCTTTTCAGGCTTTTTCCCTACTTAACTGAGTCTAATTCATGGCAGCTTCCACGAGAAAAGGTAACTGGACTGAGTTACTTATGCCCAAGTGTATCTATTTTAAAGAGAGTGGTTATTCTCCATTCACATCCTGTAGGTATTCTAGTGATTAGCCCTGTAGAAGCCAGTAACAAGTGACACATAACTACCTTGAACAATTTCACTCCAAGACTGTTTTGTATTGTTGTGGGTTTTGAAAAGAAAGAACAGCTTTTTGTAAAAAAATTTGCTTTCATGTGAGGTGTATTAAACTTGTAAACTGTGAACTTAACTGGTACAAAACAATGCCTGACAAGTGCAAAACCATAAACAAAATGCAATCATAAAACGATCCTGTGATATATCCAACTCAAAACAATTGCAGCCCAGGTTTTTTAGGTCATTGAAATGCCAAAGGTACAGGCAGGCATTTTTTAAATCACTCAATGATTACATGGCTCATTCCAATAGATTTAAAAGCTGTAACTTTCTGGCAATGTGCTAAATGCCTATCTGTATCTTTAAGCGAACCTAAAAGCTGATGTCTAGTATGGAAACAAGGATTCTTCAGAAATCCAGAATTGTTGGGAAGGATAGATAAGTATGATTAAGAACCACAATAGTACAGCCAGGACGAATATAATGCCCCCTACTGGCTGGACAACAATCTTACCTACAGAGGGGTCCAAAGGTCAAATGGACTGTTCCATCTCACCCCCCAAAATGTATGGTTCACCCCACACCTGTAACCCTCCCCTGAAACATCAGGTGCCTGTGACCCCATTGGCCCAAGTCTTGTTCCAGCCCACCTTGGAGCCCCCCTGATAAGGGGTCTCCAGGGGGCCAGACGCTCTCTTGGATCTTCCCCTCTCCTCCTGGAACTTCCTCCAGGAGTCCCTGCTCTTCCTTTTGTTTCTCCCCTCCCCATCACCTCAGGCCCAGCCACGTGCTGTGTCTAGCAGCTCGAGGCAGGGCCTCCCTGCATCCCGAATAAACCTTATCCTCCAAGAGCAACCAACAGAGATCTCTCACCTATATTCACCCAAATCCGTCCGTGGAACCCCCATCAACGTCTTAACATTCAGCAGTTCCCAGAAAAACACCACATTTATGCCATGCAACAGAGTTTTTTAACTGGGCAATAGTTTTCTGCTGTTTGAGTTATACACAGGCCTGAACAGTCTCCTCCTGTTGTGTGAGAAAAAGACAATCAAGATTTAGAAATATTTGCTGGAGCAGGTGAAGGTGGGGAGGTGGTAGCCCATGCTGGACTCCAGGGTTTCTCAGTGGAAGAGGATGCACAGTACAGCTGTATCACCATTTTGTTGCATGTACGGCTGGTACATTGTCAAATTTTAATAATGGGCACTTAGCAACTGAGATAGTTTAGAGAATGACCTTTCAATTTAATTAAAACTGTAAAATGGCTTCACATTTCTGGGATTAACCTTTTTAGATGGAAGCAGATGTTCTAGAAAGGGATTAAATTGGAAATGAATGGTCCCTCGATTGAGAAACTAAGCAGCTGTAAAAAGCTACTATTTCAAAACATAATTAAACTGGTCAATTTTATAGTTTCTACATGCTGACTTCTAAATGATACAAAAATATTGTAGTATTTTGAGTAGTTTGAAGATCTGCTCAGTGTAACATGATTAATATTTTCCAATAGAAAATTGTTTGTTAGCATTTACTTCCAAAAAACCCACATTGTTTTGGGAGTGGGTAATCTAAATGTAATGGACAGTAAGATCACTTTTAACTTTGCATTAAATTGCATCTTCCTTCTTGCAAACATAAGCCTGTGATTTCCACGTTTCACTCTCCCACTAGCAACGGAAATGTCTCAAGTTAGAATTAGGTTTTGATTATATATTGATCTACATTAAATACAGGGTACATAAGAAAAATCTTAGCATGTTTTTTTACAGGGCACCCAACTAAAATCTTTACAAAAGATAATTATTCATTCTTCCATGTAACAGACAGAGATGTCACTTTTATAAATGTACCCTTATGTTCACTCACCAATAAAATAGTAAACAAATCAACTTTTTAAACCATTTCTTATAAATTATTAAAGTATTTTTACTGACACTCTGCAACAATATACAAAAATAATACTACAAGAGTACCGATCGGTCTGGCCTACTCCTCATTTCACAGAAAAGCAGAGGTTGTGGGGGGGATGTTTGGTAATCAATCATCGCTGTAGATGTCTCCTGCAAACGGTAGGTGTACGTGGCTGCCCGTGACGTTGGGAAGTCGAGAGAGATCAGGCAGGTTCTGGATGCGTGACCTGAGTTCTTTCCGCACTTGGGACACTCTGGCTAACTTGCGTTTGTACTCCTGTAATGCAGAAGAATTCAATATGAGGTTTTATTGCTATTACCATCCCTTCTACTTACTGCACCTGACATTTTCCAAACTAAGTATTCCTTCTGCAAGTTAGGTAAACAGCCTTTAACAAGTGAGAACCCAGAGATTTGGGTATTTAGGAGGCAGATGTATCAGCTCCAGCATTTTCCCACCAATGGACTTCAAAAGCATAACCACAGGATTATTTTGCCTTGAATTCTAAGAATATAAATGCTAAATAAGAAAGACAATCACAGCTAACTCAACCACAGGCTTTTCTCCATGTAACTAGGAGAATGGGATTATTCTTAAAACTTAATTAAGTAGTTGTTACACATACTCTATTATCAATAACAGAGGCAGGAAGGATAAACTTACTGATGTTAAAGAAGTTACTTTCATCTCATACTGCTGAAATAATAAAAAAAACAACCAAATACCCCCTAACTAGGCCTAACAGATTCCACAGAGCTGATCAGAGGCAAGTATTTTGTATTAACTTTTACAATAAAAACTTATTTCCTCAGTACATTTATGGATTTAACCCTGGGTTTTCAGAAACTTTTTGAATTGGGAATTTAGGATTTCATATTGTGTTGGAATACAGGTCAAACCACTCACAATTGATATAATGATTATGAGGCCTTTTTCACTTGAAACATTATATAAATAAAATTTAACATTGTAAATCAGTGCACTAGAATACAGTCAGTGGTCACCTCTTAGGAACACGAGACATAATGGAGAAGAATACCAGCTTTTATAAAATTAAAAGTTATTCCAGAATATAAAAAGATTAATGTATAATTCACAGGAATATTCAAATTTCAAATACTTGGAAACTGTGGAAAGCAGAAGAAACTAAGCACTAGCAGACAAAATACTTCATGAAAAAAATACCACAACTCACACACATCAAATGCAGATGTTTTCTAGTGTGGCTGCAGGTTTTGCTGCAGCCTGAGAATGGCTAGAAGTAACAACACATAGGTAATCTACAACTTGGATGATCAGCCCAGGGATAACCAAGATCTTATGACACTTCTAAATAACAGTGGAGGAAAATTCTACATGATCCTGCAACAGTAACAAATACAAACACTTGATAGTTCCAGAAGTACGAAAACACTGTGCAAACGTCCATAAAAGGTAACAATCCTGCTGTTTCTTTCCAAGCTCTAAACATAATTTTAAATATGTTACTATATTGTTAGTAACATGGAGTAATAAGGAAGAACAATGAAAAGACCTTATCATAAAAAAAACCCAATACAATAGAAAAATGTAGTAAAGAATGTTAGATAACTGGGACATGACCAAGACTATTGGACAAGGTCCAACACAAATTTTAAAAGCTTGCAACTACATGACCTTCCTCCTAAGGACAATAAGACAACCATGAGATACCTTAAATTCTTAATGAGAATAGTAATGGGTAGCTAAAAAAAAATTATCAAATCTTTACACAGAAAGAAGAAGTGTCCCTGAATGAGGATCATCATTCCTTGGTATCATTTATATTTCAAAATCAAATATTACATGCGGATTCTTATGAGATACTAAACACAGTGAATATACTACAGATGCCCAGGCAGTGGAACTGTAAACACTTGGTAACAGTACACAGGGTAAAGCAGCATTTATTTTAGGATACAGGTTGCCAAAGAAGTCTTACAACTCTGAGTCCCTTGGTCCTGTGAAAACCATCGCTTGCTCACACTTGTCCATAATGTTCTCTTCAGTGTAAGCGACTTCAGGACACGGCTGTGGAAATTAAGGTCTGTATCCTGACATTGTACCCCTAGACTAATGCTCAAAGGCCACAAATACTTCACTGTTTCATTTTACAGCAGCATCCAGAGGTCTCACTGAGCAGACTGTGCAAGAAGTGTAGTCTTTTGCCAGCATGCAAAAGGCCAATCACAGGCATTCTCACTATGCATTTTAGTCCAGGATGCAAAGACTCCTGACTATTATTTTAGGGAATAGATTTTAATGCCAGAGGACAAGACCAGATTCAGATTTTATTGTTTAATAAAACAACCATTTTGGTGCTATATAGAATACTAGTTAACTAGAATCCGTATTTTCAGAAGCAGGATGCCTGGAGATTGCTCACTTGGAAACAAAGATTTCGAGAAGGCTAGGTGATTTTGCCTCCACTGTAAAAGATATACTGCTGTACAGAAGAGGATGAGCAGAACTGTAAGCAGAATCAAAACACTCAAGAGGCCTAAAAATCATAAAATATATTAACTACAAAATCCCTCATGCAGTTAATTCTTGTAAAGAGTTGAATCCTGCCCAAGTTCATTCTCTATCAATGAAGAATATAAAGCAACAAATTGGTATTCCTTCACAAGCTTGGAGCCTGAAGCTAGGCAAATAGACACAGTCACTTAGCAACAGACTCAGCACTATGTTCTTGCTAGACTTTACTCCAAAACCTGAAGTGTGCCTTATATTAGATTGTCATTTCCTTGACTCCCTAAAGTTCCCTTTAGCTGATAATAAATCATTTCCATAACAACATTGCATTTCTGACATCCAGCATTTTCCATATAAATCTGTCTGGGACTTGTTGCCTAGTGACTATCAGCTTGATCAATACTATTAACAGTAGGCTCCTTTTCCTCACTAAGGAAAATGTTCTCATAAATTGTGTCTCCCACATAACACAGTCATCTTCCTCTCACCAACATGTCTCGCATAATGCACTCTAGGGAGGCAAAATTTTTTCCTGAAGCCTTCTCATAAATATGAAACTCTGAGAAAATTTGCTCCAAGTTTTTACTGCAAAACTAGAGTAAAAAAAAAAAAAAAAAAGTAAGTAAGGTTTAACAGCTGATTATATTATTGATGCAGCATATAGAATGCAATTTTAATCCAATTTCGGTAATCCAAAGTATATGTGAGATCTGAAACTGCAGGTTAGATGTTCACAGCTATCCTCCCCCACAGGAGAGAGATTGTTCACCTATCCAGAGCACCTAATTGCCCATGACACTCCTGAAACGATTCTAGAAATCACTGGAGATGTCCAGTTTTTATGACTGGTGAGAAAGTCCAAAAGAGGACTGATTTTCAAGTACAGTGACTCAGCAGTTTAGAGGTATTTTCAAGGCAGCTGCTGTTCACAGTTTGATTCTATTTAAAACCAATAACCTCTTCTGAAAGGTTTGCTTGTGTATTTTTATGGCTGTTATTGTAGACCTGGCATGACCTAAGTAGTCCTGGACTGCTGGAATACATGTATTCATTATCAACAACACTCACTGTATGTGCAGCCTTTACTGTTTTATAATAGCACGCACATGTACCTACAGCCTTTTTCCTCATTGTGTATGTTGAGAGTGTGACAATGAGAGCAGAGAACTGGGAACTGGGATATCTAGGTGTTATTTCTAGTATTGTTGTTCCATTAGAAATGCTAGATGTTATACAACCAAGTAACAATTTCATCCTATTTTTGACACTTTTACCTGTGGAAATGTGCATAGAGAATTTCAATTTGATCGTCATTATGCTGATTTTAGGATAAACTTCAAATTACCCCTGTATAAATATGGCAAGATTTAAGATATTTACTCAAGGATAGGCAGAAGTATGATGCTTTATTTTGCTATACTGAGCTTAATCTGCATTTCTTCCTGCCTATGGAGAACCTTACTTTTGGGATATATGGGCAACCTAATGTTTGGAATTAAAGTCTCTTCAATTTCTCCAGTGGCTTTAAGCTAACCCTACTTTCAGGCAATATTTGTTTCTACTTCCAGTCATAAAAGCAGGTTTATGAGGTAATTGAACTTATTTGGCTCATTAGAGTCCCACCAATTACTACAATTTCCATTACTGGACAGTGTATATGGATATTTTGTGAAAGCAATGCTAGTAACATATGGATTCAGAATCTAGATTAATATGATTCTCTATCAAAAAGTACCAGACAAAAAAAAGCCAAATACTCTTTGATTTGACATTATACACATAATAAATAATAAAAATGTGGGCAGATCAAACAAGCTGTGCACTGCAGAGAATATATTCCCTTCCAAATAAAGTAGATCTTTATGAAGATGTTCTACACTAGGAAGGTGGTACAGATAAAAAACTTCATGGATTTGCTTTCCCTTTATAACATTGATAGGATTTTGAACCTTCATCTGACCACTGAGGCTACAGAACATACCAAAATACAGTGGGGTAGAGTATGTATAGCAATGCAAGAATAAATGGTTTGCAGGAAAGATTTAATCTGCACCCTCATTAGCTACAGAAAGGTAAGGTGGAAATAAATACTTCAATACAGAGAAACAAAACCCAGATGTTTAAAAGGCTTTTAAGGTGTTGAGGGCATGTGTGTACATCAGCATCCATGGCCTGTATGTACACAGCATTTAAAACTGAGATCTCTGACTTTCTAGGTCCATTCCAACCTTCAGTTTCAGATACAGATGTCAGAGCTGCATCACAGAGCAAAGACTTCTCCTGTACTGTGTCCAACAGTGCAGAAACTACTAGAACTCTTTGAAGGTTCAGATGAAAGTAAATGTCATATCATAGCCTGATATCTAGATTCTGAACCTCAGAATCACAGTATTTATAGACTCAACCTAGCTAGACTCTACCTCCCTAGACTCCATCTCACCCAGTTTGGGTATTTTTCTGCAAGGGAAGACTGACAATTAGACTTAGAGGACTCAGGTAAGCCTCACTTGGAAAACTGATGAGCATGGTTAAATTTTGTGCTGCCTTTAAAAATTTGGCATGGCTTGCATTTGTCAGCAGTACAATTAAAAGCTCAACCTATTTACCAGTGTTTAATAAATGAAGCCCTGAAATAACTTTAAGAGACTGAACCAATATCCATAAACTTCACACACAAGGTAGAAGAACTAAGGACAGTTATGACAATCTTAGGAAAGGACGGACTTGGCTAACCTTCCATTGCGCATTGCCTACTTCCTAGAAAACATATTTCTGGAAGTAAG